TAATCCAAAACCCTGCATTGACCATTGGCTTTTGCTAAGATTACAGATCCCTGCTCCATGCTTCCAGTTAAGGTATCTCTCTCAACCACCCCATCTGCTTTTCCTGAACTCTCCTTTGTTCTTGTTACTCCACGGAGCAAAAATTCCTGAAGCACCTTACTCACATCCCTCCTCCCCTGGTTTTGTTTTCCTGCTGCGAAACAAACCAGCTGTTTCTTTCCTCCACCGAAGAACTCAGCCAGAGCTATGTAGCACCCTTTCACATTCTTTCTGCTCTCAACAGTATATTTCGTACCTTCATCAACTGCAAGCTCTTGACTGTTATTTTGCTTACCTTTCAAACTAGCCCCTTCCACAAACTTCTGCAACCATTCCACTACTTTTGTTCCAGACAACAGAACCATAGCCCTCCTTGCTTCACTTATCTTCAGACTCAGCTTTCCTCTACCTTTCTCTTCTTCAAACAGGAAAACCTTAGCTTCAACCTTCAGATTTCTTCTCCATCTTCCTGCCTCCACGAACCTTTTCTCCATCTTCCTGCCTTAACAGTTGTTTAATTTTAAAAACCAATACTTATCAATCATTTTTGAATAATAAAAATTAGCTCAGTATTTGAATAATGTAACAGGAAATATTGTTAGAGTCATTGGCCCTTCATAATCATTAGTAACTTAGACATTTGTAGTTGGGAATTTTCAATCTTGATCTTGTTGGATAACCCATTGAACATGACAAAATCAAACCAGACCTACAAGTTTTACCCTTTAAATTTATGCCACAAGTTGAGTAATGACCTTGAGTCAGTTTTCTCTCCAGTTTCACGTGGAGGCAAAATAATTCACATGTACCTTTAATTTGACGCATGTTGTAATTTGTAACTGTTAGAAGTTATTAGGTTCATACTCAAAATTCATAGATTACCTGTAATGTTGATGTAAGTCTGGGTCTGACATTGATTTTTAAACTATGTACAAGATAATGATATGTGGGTAAATTCTTTCTGTTTATTTGTTTTTGACATCTAATTTCTTCCTATTTATTCCAAAAAGAGGGGACTACATAGAATGTTTATGTACTGTTAGGCCTAAACATGCTTTTATGTTACCCTATTGTCCTTTTCTTTTCAAAAATCTCAACAAATAGAAAAACAGGTAATCGCAACAGCAGCAGGCTGGCCTATAAATTTCATCAAGTTCTGCCATATGAGAGGCTGCCTTTCCTTAGCAAGGAAACCCTCTTTTGATGCTTTGACTTCTTTAATGCAAAACAAATGCATTGGAGTGAAATAGTATTTTACTTGATTTACATTTGGGATTTATGTGGGGATAAAATGTACTCTTTCCATGTAATTCCAATTACTTCAATGGTTGTTTACTTATTTCCTGCTTCATGATTTACTCTCATAAAATATATGTTTCATATATTATTCATATTCCACAAGATGTCTATTGCAAAGAAAAATAGTTATTGTGATATCCATTTTATTTGAAATTTGTTGAAATCTTGAATTTCTTTTGCGTTTAACATATCTAATTTGTGATCTATTATCTTTGTGAGTAGATCTCTGGTGATGCTGAAGCTGTGAAGAAGGCACTATATGCAGTGTCTTCTATCACATACAAGTTTTCTCCAAAAGAAGAAATTCCTCTCGACACAACTGTTCCTGAAGCTCCTCCAAGCATCATTATCCCTTCAGATGCCTCTATTTATCCTGCTGGTGGATTTTATCCAAGTGCAGATCCTATTGTTCCACCATCTAGATCTGTTCCCTCAGTAATTGGTGCTACACCACATATACCTGATCTCCATGGATACACAGATTCAGGAAGTGCATGGCCTCTCTATTCTTCATCTTCGCTTCCTGTAGTTTCAAGTTATGGTGGTTTGTCTCAATCTGAAGAGTTAGTAATAAGATTGCTGTGTCCCTTTGATAAGATTGGGCGTGTTATTGGCAAGGGAGGAAGTTCCATCAAGAGTGTGAGGCAGGCAAGTGGTGCTCGTATTGAGGTTGATGATACTAAGGGTGATCGTGATGAGTGTCTTATCACAGTCACGTCTACAGAGGTTAGGATTTTATCCCTTACATTTCTTTTTTCCAAAGGTTCTCATACAAGTGTTGTCACAAAATGCTGATATATGTTTCTAATTCGCTTAACATTTTTCTTGCATCAGGATAGTGTATTTGAGTAATGCGAGGGTCTAGTATATTTTTGTCTTTCAGATTGCATTATAAAATCCTCCTACTCTTTCCTGAATTGATAAAATGGTTAGGGTTATCTGCTATGTCTTCCATCCTAATAGATATTCTTGGCAGGGTTTTGGTTACAATTTTTTTCTTCCACCTCTCCCCCTTGGTCCTCTTCCCATGTTTCAGGCTTATTAAAAAGCTGTTTTGTGGCATCTGTTGATTGGCAGGCTTCGGATGATATGAAATCTATGGGAGTTGAAGCTGTTCTACTTCTGCAAGAGAAAATAAATGATGAAGATGATGATACTGTTAGCATTCGTCTCCTTATTCCTTCTAAAATTATTGGTTGTATTATTGGAAGGAGTGGCTCAATTATAAATGAAATGCGGAGGAGAACCAAAGCCGATGTCCGTATCTCCAGAAGTGAGAAGCCTAAATGTGCTAAGGCCAATGATGAGCTTGTTGAGGTCTGTATCTCTTGCAGTTAATTGGAAGTTTCTCATTTTTAGTATATTTGTTTATCTCAAGCCAACCTTAAGTGGAAATGTCATTATCAAAGTTGAGTTTTTCATTGTTATTGCCCATTCAGGTTGTTGGAGTTGTTAGCAGTGTGAGAGATGCACTAATTCAAATTGTTCTGCGGCTTCGGGACGATGTTTTGAAGGATAGGGATAGTGGTCGCAACCCCCTTCCTGTTTCTGATTCTCTGTACTCTTCTGGTAGTGGTCTTTCAGTACCTTCAGTCCTCCCTAGTGTTCCACCAGTTGCTCCTTTGGGTTATGATCGGGTTGAAACTGGAAGTGGCTTGGGCATGCTTTCTTCAAGCAGCCTCTACGGATATGGATCATTGTCGGTATGTTCCATTCATCTAGCTGGAATCAATTTCTTTCTTAACCAGTTGGAGAATCAATTTCTTTGCTTTCTTCTTTTCTTTATACTGTTGAAACATAGGAAATAAAAAAAAAAAAAAACTGGGAAAGGCTCAAGTTACAATCTCAAGAAATGCCTCACCAAGTATGAAATTAAGTCTTGGCCTTGCACCTCTCATTCCAAGTCTTCCTTGCTAAAGAGAAACATTTTGCCCGTTTTTTATATATATTTGGTTGTACAATTCTCTGGATCAGAGTATTTAAATGATTGCGTGTTAGCAACCCAAACAAACTACTGCATTTGAGTTCCAGATGAGCACCATTTACTGAATGTCAACACCTGAATATTATATTTTTCTCAAAAAAAATATTATATTTACATGAAAAAAATGATTTTACTTCAATACTAATTCTGTTCCGTTTCCTTTTTCGTTTTCTGTTCTTCCAGCCTTTCGTTGGTCTGATAACTTGACCGTTTGTTCCCCTGCCACTGCTTTCATTCTAGCAGTGTTTTTTCTTCATTTCATCATTAATTATATCATTATTATAGGTAAAAAGAGCCTCTTGAAATGCTTGCATTTGGCTATTAGTGGTGATTTGCTAGTTTACCTAGCTATGAAAGGACACTCTTTGGTTGCCATTTGCTTGTGTAAGAGAAATTAAGACTTGATATAAAACATTCTTCTAGTTCACTTGGGTGGTCTCACACTCTATATACATCATACTTAAAGGTACTGCAAAATTGGTGCACAATTCTATCAATCTGGGCCTCCCACTTGTTATTATTTAAAAAATCTTGTAGACCAAACATTCAATCCTATTGAATGAGGTGGTGTACTAGGCCACCGAACCTGTATATGCATACATGGCAGAGATGATTGTATTGGATGTATAAACAGTTGTATTGTGGTGATTTATTATTGTGGCGCTATGCATTGTTCACACTGAAGTGAGTACATACAGTAAGTAGCTTTTTTGTTCCGGCTTACCTTGTATATTAGCCATTTGTGTAAACTTTTCTTTTTTCCCCCTGTGCTAACCTTTTATATCTTTGGACTTGCTTTTTTTCCCTTTAGGTTGGAGAGAATGGTTATGGATCACTTTCTTCATATTCATCTAAGCCATATTTTGGGTTTGTGTTTGATCTGAGTTCATATCTTTAGCTGCATTTCTTTCAGGCTGACTTTTTTTTTTTAAATTTGGCGGGGTTTTATATTCCATACTTCTGCACAGGTTGCCTCCACCCTCAAATCTTGAGATGGTGATCCCTGCAAATGCAGTTGGTAAAGTGATGGGAAAAGGTGGTGCAAACATTAGCAACATCCGAAAGGTTGGTTTACTGTCCGTTCTACTCAAAAGGCAAAACAATCATTGGACAGAGTTCTGTATGTTTGATGATTGTATGACTTATTGTTTATTAACTTGTGTTTATAGATATAGCAAACGTTACTTTTCTAAGCTATTTGGCCCCTGAAGAGAGATTACACTGGCAGAGCTGCATGAATAGTCTGTGGTGGAGGGACAGGTCATACTGTTTCAATGGCCATGTATTCATTGTTCTCTCATTCTCTTGAACCATGAATTGATGATCCCCAAAGTTCATACACTCTTTATTCCCTTTCACCTGGCTGTGCAAGCATTGATGAAATGAAATACTGATGGTCAACCAAGGGAGATAGGATTCAGTCCTCACAAGACCATGCTCACTCTGTACTCACAGCCACTTGCAACTGTGTTTTGGGAATACTCTTATGCTTTTATTCATGGGGAGATATTCTCAATGCACGGCTACAAGTGGCTGTGAGTACGATATCACGGTCTTGTGAGGACTGAACTCGAGTTCCAACATAGGTTGAATTATGTTGGTTACTGGATTAAGAGATCTTTGCTTGCCTTTCTGTTCTCTAGCCAGTTGGCTCTACTGAAAACTTATAAATCTATCATATTTACTTGATGAATTCATATGCTTCATTGGTTACATATACCATGGTTTCTTTATTGAAATAACATTTGGTTGTGTTGTTTAGGAAATTTGTTAAGTAGCATGTCCATAATATCATCATTTCTGAGGTTCTGCATTTCATGACCTGGGTGGCAGCAACAAGCGTGTGTTGTTTAACTAGTATCTGTTATGATTCATTTAAATCATTTTGTTAATTGAATGGAGTATTTGCCATCAGCATTATTACTTTAAGTCAGCTTGATGCATGTGTTTTGTTTTTGGTGGCAGATCTCAGGAGCAACCATAGAGATTCTTGAATCAAAATCTTCTCKTGGTGATCGAGTGGCTCAGATATCTGGCACATTAGAGCAAAAGCGTTCAGCTGAGAACTTGATCCAGGCATTCATAATGGCAGCATGAGAAAGATAATCTATCCAGTAAATTGAAGGTGAATTCTAGTTTCAATTAGGAGTTTTCTTACTTGGAGGTTCCTCTCTGTTGTAGTTCATTTAGGTTTTCATTCCAGAGAGGAACTTAAAGTTCCTAGTATCCTCGTACTGGAATTCTTCTTGCCTCCTAAAGAGTGCCAATTCGAAAATGTGTGGGTGGACTCACATCTGACTTCTGTCGGGGGCTGGGTTACTGTCTATGCTGCTGAATCTGATCTTCATCTCCAGTTATCTTAGAACTTATAGGGTCTTTCTTTCCTTTTGTTGGTGTTATTTTAATCATGCCTTGTCTTTGAATGGGTGGATCCCATTTTATTTCCAGTTGCGCTGTGCTCTTTAAATTCACACGACGTATTGCCGGTGATGATCACAACTGTGTTCACTGCTCGTAAATTCGTATTATATATTAATGTTTTATGTTATCCTTGCCCTCATCTATTTTCTTAGTAGGATCATGTGTATCAATTATACACAGTGCAACGTGACTGGTTGTTATCTTTGTCATTGATATTCTTCTGGCCTGGTTCGTGCTTGCAGTGGAGCTTGATATCAGAAAAGCCATGTTGTAAAATTATAATCACCCCAGGATTCATTGGATCCTTCCTTTTCTCGATTCTAAACTTGAATTGATGTCTAACCTCAGTTTAGGGGGAAGTTCATTTTGAATTCGAATTAATACTTTTAGGTGTCAGGCCACTTTCACCAATATGCTTTTTGATTTCTGCTGGCCCTCAGCTCTTGGTACCTTTTTTTTTCCAGCAAAATATCATATCATGCTTGCAACATTCTGTACATTTTTCCTCTCACTAGTCTCACCTAAAAAATTTTAGAAATGAAATGCCACTATGTAATATATTCCAGGTGCTGTGTTGATTGTTTTCTGTTATTCTTTCTTCATGTCAAAGTTGATTCAACCGCACAAGCTTTCAGCTTTTCTTCTCAAGTGTTGGACTAACAGGGCCATTTGAAAGCAATCATGCCTTTTAGAACGATAGATTTTTCTTGTCTTTCAGCGTTTTCCTTGCCATTCTTTGAACTAGTGATGGCGGAATAGCCAATTCAGGAATCATGAAGTATGGAACTATGGATCTTGCAAAAATGAGTGCTGTTGGGCTTGACGGGTTGTATACTGGAGTTGAGGACTAATTTTTGACGTGGTGAAACCAGGCCACATGTTACATATGAATGTAAAAAAAATGGTGATCGGGCTGGTCTTTTTGTTTTTTTTTTTCAGCCAACACCTCCAAGTGTATCTTACCAATTGCAATGTGCTCTGTTATTGGTTGGACTTAGGCTTTTGTTGAACTAACTTAAAATGAAAGAAGCCTTTCAGATTGTCTGAAGATTACTCTTTTTCGGTGTTATAATTCATGGACACTCGTTGATGGCTGCATCCTTTATGCCTGCCAAATGACAATTATTTCTGATTTGATTTGTACGTGAAACGGTGATTGGCTGCCCCTGTCGTATTATTTTGTCTGAGTTCACATCTGCGCTCCACAAGACATAATCGGGAGATGTGAACTCATTTTGTCTTTGGTCATGCCACTAATAAGTGGTTTGCATGCATAAAATCAGCGGCTTTCAATCGATGTTTCTGCCGTATAGGGCAGGGGGCTGCTTGCTGCTTTTGTAAATTCTAAACCCTCCCCCCTCCCCCCCCTCTTCAAACCTTCGAACTCATATCCTCCCCCAAAACCAGTAGGGGTTGTTATCATGGCATGTGTGATCCAAAGCCTCAAAGCCTGTATCTAATTTCCTGTAATTAAGTTAAAATGATACGAATAAATGTAAAAAATTTTAATTATTTGATTAAAACATGCAGAAAACATAAACAATCTAAGGATCTTTATTCAGCACTTAATACACAAGTTTGTGCAATGATTTAATTATAAATACTAAGGGTGTTTTAGCAATTTCAATGTATGAATTGATTAGGGTTGGGTTTAGCCTAATACTTTACCCTATCTGTACTTGTGTGTTCGTATGGGCTGTAAAATCTCAAAATCCTAATCCTAAAATGTTGGTGTGTTCCCCCAGTCATATTTCACCCAAAAAAAAATAATAATTCATGAGTTTAAAATGAAAGGTGCAAATTGTGGTCAATTTTGCTTTAAACTTTTGCTTCAGAGGTCAGACCTTTTTTAACTTTACGCAAACAGTAATTTAGTAAATTTTGCAACAATAGTAAATCAGAAATGGATTAGAAATTGACTTGAACTTTTGCACCAGTACAAATAAAATTGCACTTCAAAATCAGTCTAATATCAGTTGATTGTGGTTTCGTAGCAAAGCCTTCTTTGACAATGTTCAAGAGAGGAGTTCGTGAAACTGAAACAATTGTCCTGGCCATGGTGTCGTGCAAATTTGATTGATTGTTTTGGCCTTGGGGCTTTGGGAAAGCCTGTTATTTTGTTGTCTTGATACCTTGTAGGTTTTACTCAAGGCTCAGTACAAATACAAATATGTACAGTATAAAACCTTGTATATAGTATTCTTAGCACTGTATAAGTGTGTATATTTATATGTACTCTTTCCAAACTGAGCATAATGGTTTTATTACTGTATACATGGTTTTGCATTGAGCATATTTGTCTTTACACTCTTCCAACAATCTAATGGTTTTGGCTCATGGCCTTGAACATCTTCTTTATGGTGGGCTTAAGTTGCGTGCTTGGGTAGCTTGATCTACAACTACCTTTTGTTAGATGTAAAGTGGAGTCAAGGCCTTTAACAAAGGGGGTTTCATTTGGATCATGACTAAGTCCAACCTAGTCTATAAATTTTTGGGTTTGTCCCTAGGATGTGCCTTTTGCGGGTATGGGTGTACATGAGGCTAGGGTTGTCAATGGGTCAGGTCTGACCTGATGGATCCCAATTGATTGGGCTAGTTTTGGTTCTAGGATCTAGTATCAATGGGTTAGTTCCAGTTCTATTGCCCCAATTATATATATATATATTATATTTCAAAAGCAGAGTTCTAGCAAATCTCAACTTTTTGTTATCATAGTTTTATATTTTCCTTCGAGACGAGAACCAGATTATATTTCTTGTCAATATTTAGAAAATTGGAAATAATTGCAAGTCTTATATGGCAGGGGAGATTTCTAATATTGACTAGAATCTTTTTTTAGGATAAAAGAATTAAATATACCTTGAATTTTCATAAATTAACTTAAATATACTTTGAGTTTTTCAAATGAACTTAAACATACCTTATAGTTGTAAAAATTATTTATTTATCATTTTTTATCCTTCATAAAGAACCAGAGAAACACCATGGCCAGAGTAGCAGCTACCTTCTACATTCCCCCCTCTTTAGAAACACATGGAGGCTCTTTGTCTTTCTCTCTATCAATCTCGAAATCACGTGGAAAGAGTGCATAAACTGTGGGACTGTACGGATACAGTAATTGTAGAGACAAATGGGACTGTACAGGTAATGTAACGATGCATATCATACAATATACATCAACGTTTAGGGTCAGTGATTTGTGCTTCATTAAGAATTTATAGTATTTAAAAATTCAATCATTAACAGAGTCTATACACTAGCCATTATCAACATGTCCAAACAAAATGGTAGAAATAATCACGAATTTTGATCATTCAAAACACTAAATACATAGAAATCACATGTTAAGGGTATTAACGCTTTGAACCTTGGCTTGGTAATAGTTGTAGTTATCATATCTTTTAAGGGGTCGTTACAAGAAATGCTACAAAATCCTTGGTATTATGTCTTTTCATTATTTTTACCTCATATCGTGGCTATATCAGGGTGTATCATAGCTAAGGTTCAAAATATCAATACGCCTGTTGGTAGTGGTATATTGGTAGATTTTTTATTTTTTTTTGTTTTTTTTTTTAATCTGGTTCAGATGACTGGTTTACCGTTCACTCTCTAAACCAGCCGGGACCCCAAAACACCCCCTGTAGGGGCGTATTGGAAAGCCCCTGATACAATATGTATCGGTCAATATGGCCCGATATGTATTGATACTTTGAACCTTGATCATAGCTATATCGAGATTGTATTAGGGTGTATTGGCCAATACAATACGACTTTCCTATAGGCGAAAAACAAATTAAAAACCTTTAAAAAAGATGGCTTTTAAGTCTCTCCAAAAGCTTTCTTTCTCTCTCAAATTCACCAAATTGTCCCTACACATTCTTGGGCTGCAAGACCTTAAAAAAAATTCCAAAAACAACCTCTAAAACTCAAGATTTTTGAAGTTTTCTATTTTTTTTTTCAAAATTTGTGAAAATAGGTATTTTTCAATTTACTTGATAATATGTTGCAATATTTTGTGTTTCTTTTGTTTTGATGCTTGGAAACATAGGCGGAGATAGGGGGACCCAGGGGAGCCATGGCCCCCCCTAGGGTCCAGAAATCCACCACTATTAGTACAATCTTTCACGTAAACTCCCATGTCCCCCACTCCCCAACCCAATGGTTGGCCCCCCTATGGGTCCATTTACATTTATTCCCCCTCTTCCTAATCCACTTTAGATTTTTGCCCCCCCCCTAATGAAAATTTACTGGCTCTGCCCTTGCTTGGAAATGCTTCTATATGCATTGATATACTCTCTTTAGTTGAAAATCCTATATTTTTTTGGTTCTTTAAATAGCTCTATATAATTTTTTTGAAAAAAAAAATCATAAAAATATAAAAAAAAAGAAAATTTTATATCTTTGGTGTAATCTGCCAATGAAGAATAATTATGTCATAGATCTATGATGATCTACCATATCCATAGTCTAGTAAAATATTCATTTTTTATTTTCTATAATTTTTGGAATAAAAAATATTTATTTATTTTTTCATTTTTAGTAAGATCTAAAAGATTTATTATGTATATATCTATGAATGATCTACAATATCAATAGATTTGTTGAAATTTATTGTGAAATAGTTATTTTTTTATTTTTATTTTGTAATTTTTAGAATAAAAAATATTTATTTTTCTAATTTTTGTGTGATTAAACATACATTTAATATGTTTCAAATCAATGGATGATTGACAATATCCATAGATGTATTGAAATTCTTTTGTGAAATATTTATTTTTATATTTTTTTAATTTTTAGAATAAAAAAATATTTGTTTTCTTTTTTCTTTTTTGGTGTGGTCTAATCATAATATTTGCTATGTTGTAATTCTATGGATAACTTATCATATCCATAGCATTATTTTTTTGTTACATTTTTTTTAATTTTTGGAATAAAAAACAAAATAATTGCTTTAATAGTAAATAAATAATTGTTTAAAAAATACATAAAATGTTTCATTTAATAATTATTAAGCTTATATTTTGTAGTTATAAACTTATTAAAGAATACCCTCATGTTCTATATGTTGATTATGATATATTTTTTTCACAAAAATCACTAAAGCATATGATTTTTGTGTATATATAGCTCATTTAGGCCTTATATCTAATGCTATTGATGTATTTTATGATTTATTGAAGTGTCTATAGTATTTCCATGCATATCATCTATAT